ATGGAATTGGGGTCAGAGTTCTGCTTCTAGCCCTGGTGTCCTTGCCTGCTCGAGAGGAGTTTGCTGGCCTGAGCAAGAGGATAGGGGAGTTGGAAAATCAGTTCATGATCATCTCTTGACTTCTAGTTCTGTTTAGTCTCAGTGGTCTGTTTGGGAATAAGGCCAAATTCTGTGTCTCAGCTTCCTCACCTTTGAAGTTGGCGGCCTATTCAGTACTTAACCTCAGTCCTTTAGCCCAGAAGTTTTGCAATAACCAGTGAGGGAATGTTTTTAATGTGGTGCAGACTCCTTAGAGAAAGGGACTTTATATTAACCGGTATTCATTGTTATTGTTAATAATGTTCCTGGAATTGTTGGCATCTTGTGTCTGTCTGCATATAGAGCTATTGTTTATATATAAAAATGTTTTGCTCAAAGGGTTGTCCTCTTGGGATATACCTTTTGTTTTCAAAAGAGTTTCAGGAAACAGCAGTCATCCAGCCAGCCAGCGATCATCCGGGTATACATTAGCGAGTCCCAAGCATTGCTTTCTAATACAGAAGCTCAGTTTAATTTAGTGGAGCGTGTGAAGCCTTAAGAAGTGACATGAGGTTGGCCCCTTCTAGCCCGAGGATCTGATTCAGCAGTCTGAAATTGCACTGGACCAGCCTCCTTTTTCTCTCTCTCCTGGTTTTCTAACTTGTGGTTTAGAAAGCCATCGGTGATCGTTAATGCTCATAATTAGTTCACCGTAGTCATGATTGTGTTCTCAGGGAAGAAATGTACTTAGCATGGGGACGAGAGCCATTGTGTCCTGCAGACTCTGCGAGCAGCTGCAGGTGTAAGAAGTGACTTTGAGCCACTTCAGTGAGTGCACACGCTCGGAAACGTACTGGCCTTGCTGGGTGCCCATTACACTGGGGTGGGCTCTTCTGCAGCCAATATGACTTCCTAGGATATGTCTTATTGCAAAGACTGGCCCCCAGTGGGAACTGGTAGACACTGTTTCCCATCACGGGAGTCAATCAGATAATCTCGCAAATATCTGACTACGTAGCTAGAAGCAGTTTTCTACTTCTACATAATGGAAATAGAGTATCAGAATACAGTAAATACATATAAAAGAGAAACATGTTTGAGATGATCTCTGAAGCATAAATAAGCTAATTAGAAGAGACAGTGGACATGAAAGGGCATTGTGGGAGCAGTGAGGGAGGCTGGCTGAAGGCATAACTTGTGTAGGACCGTGGTACTTCCAAGGGCATGGAAAGAATTTAGGTAGACCAAGCCCCGGGGGGAACATGGCACTGGTGGGGTTGCAGAGATAAAGAGATGGCAAATACTTGAGCGTCTTAGAAGATATTTTCAGAGTGTTGGTCTTTATTGTAAGTGAGGTACACAAAGGGTAGTGACAAGATTTTGTGTGGGAACAGACTAGAAGGCATGGAGGGGCAGTGCGGGAGGCTAGGGAGAAGGACAGTTGGCGCCCGGACAGTCCACGTGGGAGTTGCTGACAGTCAGAAGTCACTTTGGGTAAGAAATGGAACGACTGGCAATAAGTCGATCATTGGGTTTGAGGCACAGGAGTGGCTCAGATAATTTCAGAGTCTTCCATGGGCCACTGGCTAGATGGGAAGTTTTCGCTGGTATGGGGAACATTTTTCATGACTAATTGAATTCTAGATGGTTACACTGTTGATATGATTATAAAACCCAGTGCTAAAATATGGTTTTCCTCACAAATTATCACATCTTGTGCTTTCACACTGTCCGTAGGCCAAGAAAAATATCTTAATGTTTAGTTGGTTTTGCTGTTTCAAATTCCACTGCACTTCCCAAGAGAGGTGCACCGCAGGGCCGCCGTACGGGCCATCTCAGCACATGCTTTAGGGCCCCAACGAAACAGAAACACCAACAGTTTTTAGGAAAATTGCATTTATACTGGCTGAGCACAAGTTTGGATTCACAATGTCTCCAGAGAATTTTAATATCAGCATACAATTAAATTTTTCATTCCTCTGTTGAAAAAAACTTTTTATTTTGAAGTCTATAATGGCAGTGGTGATGGTGGTATGCTCAGAAGTAGCACTGGTGCAAGTACAGGGGCAGAGATTCTGTGGGTGACAGTGACGGCCTTGGTGGTGGGCGCTGCTCTGGTGGTGACGGTAACCATAGTAACATAAGGGTGGCTCGTGCAGGACTCACACTCTTCAGCACTGAGGGCCGTAATTGGCCTCTGAGAAGGTGGCTATGCCTCCCACTGCCTAACCCTAGGTAGAGAGCAAGGATATAATAGAAACGTCAGAGAGCTCTCACTCATCTTTTCCTCCTCAAGAAGCATACATTTAATATAAATGTTCTAGTCACTTTCCTATTAGTGTCGTGGATAAAGGTAAGTGAACTGGAGAGTATTTTCTGTGGTAGAGTTTTGGGGTCTAAGTCAGCTCCTTGGCAGGGTTGGCTGTGTGCGATCTGAGGAGCACCTTCAAGGATTTTAGAGGGAGAGGAGCTTGAGACACTGGCCACTGTCCTCTTCTGTTCGTCACTGTACTTCTCTAGGAGAAGCTTCTGTTTCTTTTCCTTGTTGCACTGTAACCTTCATTGTTTTCAGTGCACTGTCTCCATTCTTCTTGTCTCTGAGGTGGGCCCTTTCTGACAGGGTAAGTGTGGGCACTTCTCTTGTCTCCCCTTTCTCTGTGCCCAGCTTTCCTTTTCTCCTCAATACTGAGCATTTATTCCACTGTAGAGGATCAGTAGCTTCTTTCTTTCTGTTCTTTTGCGTCCTTCCTGGAGAATACAGATTCTATGCAGACAGCCTTTGCTTTATCTACTACTTGCTTTTGAACACCTGCAATAATACCTGGCACAGAGTCAGTGTTTAATAAATATTTGTTAGGGCTGGCGAGATGGCTCAGCAGACTAAGTGCCTGCTTTGGCAAGCTCAGGGACAAGGGTTCAATTCTCAGTCCTGCATACCACGCCAGCCCTGCTTCCAGGTGTGCTGAGCCTGCAATTGAGTCCAGGCATGATGGCCCATGCCTGTAATTCCAGTGCTGGGGAGGCTGAAAACAGTGGGATCACTACAAGTCCAGTCTGCATAGTGAGACCCTGTACCAAATACATAGAAGTTTTTTTAAGAAAATTGTCAAATGAGTAGATGATTTATTTAACTGTCCTCTTTATGCTTGGGTCAAATGCATATAATAATGCTGGTCTCATCTGGTTACTTTGGAGATTAAATCAAATCGAATTTCCTGGCACACCATGGTGCAGTAGGGGCTGGTGAACTATTAGATTCCTTCCAGTGCTCCCCTTTCTTATAAGTTACTTCTCTTTGGTGTTTAGAGTGATCATTCTGGTTTGCTTCTTGCCTCCTTGGTGATGCTCCAGGATTTTCTTAATGGCATATCTTTCTTTTATTTCCTAAAACAGTTTGTTCCAGTGACATATTCAGTGGACCTGATTGCTTCTCTTTCATCTTATTAATAAGAATTGTATTATTGTTGTTATCTTTATTACTATGAAGATACACAATTATTCTAATTATATAAATATTCTATTAAGATGCTTCTAGAATTATAAAATCATGTATTATGTTTACTATAGTTGACTGTAAAACAATTCATTATTAATGAGATATCCTTTACATTTTGAATTACTCTATAAGGTAGCTGTTAATTATCTCTAATTGATGAGGAGACCAAGTCTTACAGAGGTCAATATTGTGTTCAAGAATACATTCCTGATCACACAATGAGGAACGTTCCCAGTGTGGAATCAGCCTGTAGGTCCCCACCTGTGATGGCTTTACCACCGGCTTGCTTTGCTCATTAGGAGTAGACCGTTGGTACAGCTGGCAACAACTGTGGCCTGAAAGGAACTCTTAATGTTTTGAAGAAGTGAGGCTCATAGTTATTTCTAAATGCACATTTCTAAGTCCATTATGACTTTTAGGCATCTTTAACCCTGTGACTAGTCAGAGAATTTGTACGTCCGTTCTTCAAGATTCACACTGACATAGAATAATAACTAGATAATTATATCCAAAAATAAATCTCCTTATAAATAACTTACTAAATCTCTTAGTCAATAAGATAGTTGACCTTTTAGTGAAGATAATAGCTGTAGTTTACTGTTTATTATATAACAGCACACAAACTCCTTCAAAAAACTTGAATGCTATGTAACATGTGACATTGAGCCATAGAACTTGACAAATCATGATTTACGAATCTTAGACTTAAGTATCTTCTAGTAGTGCAGGTTCTTTTAACTAAAGAAAATTAAGTCAAAATAATAGGCCTTATTTTAAGTCCTTTTTCTTCTGTTGGGTGCTATGCAGTGGCAAACCCCAATCTCACCGTGTAACAGCAAAAACTGGGACATTTATGGCGTCAGCCAGGAGATAGGATGAAATGTCCAAAGCTGACTTCTGGAGGTAATTCTTTCTGTAACAACTGTTTTGGATCATCTCAGTCCACTCAACAAATTATTAAATTTGCACCAGATACCAAGGATTTTTCAGTGTAGAAAACAGACATAATTAATGCTTCCTTTTACATTATAATGTAGAGAGGCCAGTAAACACATGTGAGTTTAGATAGTAAGGTGGGCTAAGAAGAAAATCCACAGGATAGTGTGCCAGGTGGGGAGGGTTACTCCAGTCATGGTGGTCAAGGGGGCCACCTTGGGAGGGTGCATGGGAGCTGAGCTGGTGCTTATGGGAGGACAAGAGTCTATGTGTACAGATCACAGAGAACAGTCTCAGCCAGGGACAGCAAATGCACTGCGTGTTAATGAAGCTGAAGGGCAGGATGTCTGCAGGATGTGAAGGACAACAATGGTGTTGGCAGGAAGCTCAGGGGCTGTCATGGGCCCTCGGTGATTGTGCAGAGTCGATTTTATTCCACTGGTGGGATTGCATGGAGGGATTCTGACAGAGGCATGGCCATATCTGTAGCCACTAACTTCAGATGTGTAGCGTGGAAAGGTTCCTTCTAATTTTTCTTTGTATTTTGTAGACTAGACCAGAGGGCTGCTATTTGGCCAAAGGATGCTTTGGAAACCCATCAAGACGTAAACGAGGTAGGTGCACTTGCTTGTTCCCTGGACATAGACAGCAGTCACGCCATTTACTGTCCATTGCGGCAGTGCTAGAAAGGACCCTGATGAAAGCGTGTGAGTATCTTTGCTCCTAAGTCTCACTCTTGCACATCTTTGCTCAGTTGGGGATGGCTTTCTTTCCTCTGGAGCAAGCACGTTCAAGATATTATTTTCAATACTGCTTGCTGTGTCTCAGCTCTGACTCATGTCCAGCAAGCTTTGCAATACACCTTCCAACTTTGGTTCAGGGCTGTGTGACGATAGATGTGAGTTAAGATTTATAAGGTTTTCCCTTAGCCTTAGCCTTAGCTGTCTCTCTCTCTCTCTCTCTCTCTCTCTCTCTCTCTCTCTCTCTCTCTCTCTCTCTCCCTCTCTCCCTTCCTCCCTCCTTCCCTCCCTCCCTCCCTCTCCCTCTCCCTTTCCCTCTCCCTCTCTCTCTTTTCTACTGGCTCTTGCAACCTAAAGTGTAATCACACTTAGTGTTCAGCCACTGAACACAACACAGAGTGGTGTCTGCACTACGGGCTTAATATACTTTGAGATATGAAGTCATATTTTCCAACCCGAATGATTTCACCCTAAATTGGATGTCACAGCATTTGTTAGCTTGTTTTAAATTTTCTTTGAAATACATAATTGAATTATAATGTTGGAAATCGATATAATATAATTAGGGTAGTGGCCATTATGAATGCCTTGGCTTAAAGCACTGTTTTGGAATGCCCTGTCTGGTTTTGCTTGTCCTCATTATATTAGAGCCGTGGGTGGTAATGTGTGGTATGTCTGATGAAGATCACAGGAAATAAAATAGAAAGTCCTGGTCCTCAGATGCCTAGAAGAGAGGCTACAGGATTAAAGCAAGTTGTTGGGTATTTTTGAGATTCGTATTTCCTCTCCCAGCTCCCATCCCCACAGAAGTCATCAACTAAATTTAAGTGACTGGCATTATCTCCTTTTGCTAGAAAATGAATAGCCAAAGATCAACCAGATATCTGGTTAAGCCAAGCTAAATAGGTAAATGTACAACAAAACAAATCCAAAAAAAAAAAAAAAACAAAAAAAAAAAAAAAAAAAAAAAAAAAAAAAAAAAAAAAAAAAAAAAAAAAAAAAACCATTTAAAATAAGATCGCAATATACTCTCAGTATAGTGTTTACTTTTGTGAATGTGCATAGAGAGAGCCTTTGAATTCCACCCGTCTTATTCACCATAAGAAACATGAAAAAGAGTTTACAAGAACAGAAATAGGTGTCTGAATCAATGCATGCAGCACTGCGAACAAGCAGTACACTAATTGTAAAGAAACCACAGTGTTTTGATGTAAGTGACTGGAAAAATAAGGTGTAAAGAGTGAACCCATGATACCTTTCAAGTATTTAGAAGAAACTGAGTTTTGATCTGGAAATCCATGAAGAATGTTGAGCTTCCTTGAGAGGTTTGAAATTATGGTTGGGAAAACCTGGTCCTGGCTGACAATCTGTTTTGCTGCATACTTTCACTGTATCACATTGGCAAGTGACGTCGTTCACTGCACTGACACCACTTGGGCCAGGGGCACGGAGATGAGATACTTGCTTGAAAGGACCGGTGCAGCCATGTCCCAGATGTGCACACCTGCAGGCCAAAGGGGCGATGCAGACTGGTGCAGCACTGAGTGTGTGCTCAGAGTGGTTCTGTTCTGCTGGGGGTAAAATGTGTGTGCAGGCCCGCAGTTTAGCATGCAGCTTCTGTTTTGACCAAAACTTGAGATACTGTAAGTGGCCTTAGAGAAACCTGAGGGGGACAGAATGAGTGGGGTAAATACATCATGGAGAGTTAATATGCTCACACCCATTTCCAAGAACATCCCACAGAATGGCAAACTCGAATGTCTCCTTCCCAGGTTTCCTCAGACTCACTGAACACCAAGTCCTCTTGCAGAAAAACTGCCTACAGAGTTGCACAGAAAGTAGATGGGAAACATTGCTTTAGCGTTTTTGATGGGGTTGTAAAATACAGAAAAATGCACACATCATATGCACATGGCTGGGTGAAGTTTTAGGAAGCAGAACCTAAGTAACGTCTCAGACATCTCTCTGTAATTCGTTCTTCCTTTGGGAAGATGACTGTTACTTACACTGAAGGAATTTGTTTCACCTATTTTTGAGCCTTTTATATGCGGACTATGTGAATTTCTTTTATGTCTGGCTTGATTTGCTCAGTATCATGTTGTGAATTCATCCATGTTTTCCATGTGGCTCTAGTTTTCACTCAGCTTGTTGTGGACTGTTGCATGGTTGTATGTAGCACTCTACTATTATAATCAGTTATCGCTGCTTATAACTGTTTATGATGAGCCACTTACTTTCTAACTTCTTTGTGCAGCCTGCTTTTACAGCAGTATCCCTTCCATCACTAAATGGATATGTATAGTTAGCTCTACTACTGCTGCTCATCTCACTGCTTCTTTTGTTTATTTATCAAACTCCCCTCAGGCTTATCGTTCTTTAAAATAACTACTGGTCTTGCATCTTTCTCTGTGTTTTCTTCCACATTGACTTGCAAGGCTCACAAAAGTAAAAGTAAAAGAAAAGCTTCTTAAACATCATGGAAAGATGGAGCATACATGTTTTCCAGATGTTTCCATGGATCCTAATGTTTTATATAAATAATAACAATTAGAAGATGTTACATATGTGCCTTATAATTTTCCCAGATGTCACAACTGCAGTTGAACTTCTTATTCCACATGGTCTGTCCTGAATAACTGGAGCTCTGTGGTAGCTTGATTCCAGGGCCCTACTTGACCCTACTTGCATCCCTTGGCTAGCAGAGAGGCACAGTGTAGTGTGTCTGTGTTTGTATGTGTTTCTGTACTTTCCAGGAAGCTGGAAAGCCCACTAACTTCTTGTTTCCATTGGCATGAATACACATTTGACTTCTGCCAAGATTACTTTTCCTCTGCAGGTCCTTAGCTTCCAGATTTTGACCTTAGGTATTTGATAGGACTTGGGTCTCCATCTTGTTTTCTGGTGTGGGTCTGTGTTATTGAAGTTTGTTTCTGACAAATGGATTCAATACCCTTCCTACCATTTGCCCGAACTTTTGGACTCTGCCTTTGCAACTGCAAAGGTTCTTTGTTGGGCATCTCCTGGATCCTGATTGGAAAATACCCTATACTAGAAATTTGTCACTTTCTCACCTGCCTTAACCCATGATTTTAGCTAATCTACCATGTTCATGTGTAATCACTCAGTAAATCTGAAAGGTACTTGAAAAATAAAATAAAGAAGATACTTGTTCTTATTCTCATTTTCCATGCCCTCTTGATGTCATTCGTAAATATCAATTAGGAAACATAACACATATAAGGAAAGCTAGTAGAGCTCCCCTCCATGAGTGTGCATGCCACATTGGGGGACCAACTGCATATCACAGAGCACCACAGCAACTCATTTTAATTCTTCATGTGTAGAGCTGGGAAAGAGCTTAGGAATTCGGCGAGCTCTATGACTTTTTTCAGCTTTAACCCTCACCGATTCTATTCTTTTTTTTCATTTTCCCGGTATTTGTACAATCTAGTTATAGTTTTCCATCTGGAAAGGGATGATCCAAATTGCCCCCACATTCCAGGCCTCGTTGGGGAGGTGAATAGTAAATTGTGCTATAAAAGTGACATGTGTGCTCAGTGTAGTTACCGCGTTTTGGAGAGGGCTGCACACATCATGTTATCAGAAGCTAGGAATTGGGAGGGGTTGAGGATCCGACTTACGATTGGCATAAATTTGGACCTGCTGCCCAATCCTGCCCTTATCTTTGCTTGATCCAACTCTTCCGCATCACCTGACAGAGGGAAATGCTCACGTCAGATTGTGTCCATTGCCACTGGGCTCAGGCCTCTTTCTGATCTGGTACATGCTAAAGGTGTTCTGCATTTCTTATTCATCTAAAGCAAGTGTCAGGAAAATGAATCTGTTTCCATGTCAGCTTTTACCTAGAATTCCAAGATTTTGGGGCAGTGGTGGCAACCTTAGGGCACGTGTGCTGCAGCAGGCTGTTTGAATTATTGAAAGTGCTAAAAGATTCACCATCACTGTCCTTAAGGTCAAGTCATCTATATGTCAGTTAGAAACAGAAATTGGTCTTTGGTGCCCCTGTACAAGGATTTCTCTTCACCCTTTGAAGCTTGTTGACTATGACATTGCTTTATGCTGGTGTGGACTAACTGTAAAGTTTATCAGCTCCAGGCTTAAGGAGCTAACTTGCAAATCTGAAGGAAAAACATCTTGTCCTGGCTTCATGCGTTTACCCAAGAAAAATAGTTCAAGTGCAGCGACGCAGATGATAAATCATAGAATGGGAAAGTGAATAAAGCTGTCTACCAGTAAACCCCACAGCTTTACTGGTGAGAATTTCAGTGTAGTAATTATACATAGAAGGTGGTTGGTATAAATACTTGTAGTAAGTGTAAGTACATGTCTATCTCGACATCTTGTCTCCTCAGAATCATTCCGTGAAGATTCTTTCCTCACAGCTGATTCCTATGAGACAAAAGGCATGAAATTATTGATCTTAACATCATCAAGGGATGTAGAACTTTAATATAATTAAGAATCCAGAAGTTGTTCTGTTGTGGGATGCAGTGTGAGAGATGGAAAAGATGGGGTTTATATTCAGAAGGTTCATGATCTTGTACGTTTCTGGCTCCCTGGTGAGATGGCCAGCTATACTGCGGTGGTGCTGTGATTATGGTTTCATGGGGTGAGGTATTAGGATGGTTCTCTGGATGTTGAAGTAACGGAATATGGAAGGAGCCATGCTAGAGAGTCAGAAGCCAATCCAGATCGAAGTCACTGAGTCATGTGTAGCAGGCCAGAGAATGGGAGATGATGGTGTCATCTTTTGTAGGGGAGAAGAAATCAGCAGCTTCAGCAGTGAAGGCACAGGATGGCAGTAATAACCTAACCTTCTACCCTTCTGGCCTCTTCCTAACTCTGAGCTAGAG